TAGGATAAGGAGAACCCCTCTCCTTATCTAGTTGCACAGTTCTCCATGCTCCTCCGCACCCTTAACGGCATCTGTTACCTCAGCAGTCAGGACCCCTCCTGTACAGACTTACAAAACATTAATGACACAGCAAACAAAACTAAATGTTTTAACACTCTTTGTAATATGAGTAAGAGAGATAACAAAATGTGTAGGTATAATATGATTAAAGTAATATGATTAAAGTAGAATAACTTATGTACAATTAATTAATCCAACACTTCTGATACATTTTTCTGTGGTGGACCTTCATTAACATCTGTAGTAGGACAGAACCCCCCCACCACCACACACACACACACACACACACACACACACACAGACAGACACACAACCACCCTCCCTGTTTGTAGTGAACTATTTCAGTGATGAAGAACTGTCTCCACAGATGGAGGAAGAGGATAAGCATTAGTGAAGAGGAGCAGCCGTCCTGCAGTGCTCTGTGTCAAAACCTGCTGATGGATCCGGTCTCTACCAGCTGTGGACACTGGTTCTGCAGACAGTGCATCGGGTCTCACTGGGCCCAGTCTACTTCATCAGAACCCTGCTCCTGCCCCCAGTGTGGGAAAAGACCTAGAACTGGATCTTTGACAGCCAATCAGAGCAGCTTTGCAATAGGTAAGACTGACCATGTCCAATCAGAGCTTCCTTCTCTTGTCTCTGTTGAACCAATTCTGTCTTAAGTTGGATTTGGAGCTTTGGATTTTCAAGCTTTTCAAAGTCTTTCTGAGATCAAATATTCTAAATAAATATCTGCATTTTAATTTGGGAAATGACAAATCTTCAGTCATCTTTTCTTCCCTGTTTCAGCAGATGTTGGTCTGCAGGAGGTTCTAGATGAACATAAGATCAGTCTGAGGAGGAGATGTGAATGTGTGACTGAAGGAAGTGATAAAACAGGAAGTAGAACCCTCCTCAACAGGATCTACACTGATCTTTACATCACAGAGGGACAGAGTGAAGAGGTTAATACCCAACATGAGATGAAGCAGCTGGAGAGAGCTTCAATGATCCAGAACCTCCATGGTTCTCCAATCAGGTTCCACGACATCTTCAAAGCCTTCCCTGACCAAGATGGAGCCATCAGACTGGTTCTGACCAATGGCGTCGCTGGTGTTGGAAAAACCTTCTCAGTGCAGAAGTTCACTCTGGACTGGGCAGAGGGCTTGGAGAACCAAGATGTCAG